GATGAAATGCTGCAGAAAACAAAAATATCTTCAGTTCCCATTTGAAGGAGCCAATGTTTTCTGTTCATCTCAAGGTTTCAGGGAAAATGTTTCTCAGTTGAGGAGCATAGAAAGTAAAAAGCTGCCTCTCCTTGTTTAGTTTTGGATCTGCAAAAACTCTGGTGAATGGAGAGGTCTTCATTGACTATAAATGAAAAAAGGTGAGGACATGTCTGATTTTCTTTTCAGATTTGTATTTTGAAAAACCGCCCTTCATCGCTCCCCTTCACAACACAACCATGCTCTACTGCTGATTTATGGCATAAACTCCCATCAAAACACACCGTAGTTTGCTACTTCAAGGGTGTGAACACTCTATAATGCTTTCTTTATATTTCTAGTCAGTTCCCGTCTGATATACAGGTGCTGGTCATAAAATTAGAATATCATGAAAAAGTAGATTGATTTCAGTAATTCCATTTAAAAAGTGAAACTTTTATATTATATTCATACATTACATACAAACTCATATATTTCAGATGTTTATTTTGTTTAATTTTGATGATTACAAATGACAACAAATGAAAATCTCAAATTCATCATATCAGAAAATTAGAATATTGTGAAAAGGTTCAAAATTGATGGCCCCTGGTGCCACACTCTAATCAGCTAATTAACTCAAACCACCTGCAAAAGCCTTTAAATGGTCTTTCAGTCTAGTTCTATAGGCTACACAATCATGGGGAAGACTGCTGACTTGACAGTTGTCCAAAAGACGACCATCGACACCTTGCACAAGGAGGGCAAGACACAAAAGGTCATCGCTAAAGAGGCTGGCTGTTCACAGAGCTCAGTGTCCAAGCACATTAATAGAGAGGCGAAGGGAAGGAAAAGATGTGGTCGAAAAAAGTGTACAAGCAAGAGAGATAACCGCACCCTGGAGAGGATTGTGAAACAAAACCCATTCAAAAATGTGGGGGAGATTCACAAAGAGTGGACTGCAGCTGGAGTGAGTGCTTCAAGAACCACCACACACAGACGTATGAAAGACATGGGTTTCTGCTGTCGCATTCCTTGTGTCAAGCCACTCTTGAACCACAGACAGCGTCAGAAGCGTCTTGCCTGGGCTAAAGAGAAACAGGACTGGACTGCTGGTGAGTGGTCCAAAGTCATGTTCTCTGATGAAAGTAAATTTTGCATTTCCTTTGGAAATCAAGGTCCCAGAGTCTGGAGGAAAAGAAGAGAGGCACTTCATCCACGTTGCTTGAAGTCCAGTGTAAAGTTTCCACAGTCAGTGATGGTTTGGGGTGCCATGTCATCTGCTGGTGTTGGTCCATTGTGTTTTCTGAGGTCCAGGGTCAACGCAGCCACATACCAGGAAGTTTTAGAGCACTTCATGCTTCCTGCAGCTGACCAACTTTTTGGAGATGCAGATTTCATTTTCCAACAGGACTTGGCACCTGCACACAGTGCCAAAGCTACCAGTACCTGGTTGAAGGACCATGGTATCCCTGTTCTTAATTGGCCAGCAAACTCTCCTGACCTTAACCCCATAGAAAATCTATGGGGTATTGTGAAGAAGAAGATGCAATACACCAGACCCAACAATTCAGAAGAGCTAAAAGCCACTATTAGAGCAACCTGGGCTATCATAACACCTGAGCAGTGCCACAGACTGATCGACTCCATGCCACGCCGCATTGCTGCAGTAATACAGGCCAAAGGAGGCCCAACTAAATACTGAGTGCTGTACATGCTCATACTTTTCATGTTCATACTTTTCAGTTGGCCAACATTTCTATAAATCCTTTGTTTTTATTGGTCTTCAGTAATATTCTAATTTTCTGATATGATGAATTTGAGATTTTCATTTGTTGTCATTTGTAATCATCAAAATTAAACAAAATAAACATCTGAAATATATGAGTTTGTATGTAATGTATGAATATAATATACAAGTTTCACTTTTTAAATGGAATTACTGAAATCAATCTACTTTTTCATGATATTCTAATTTTATGACCAGCACCTGTATGTGAGGTTTCTCTCAGACATTTCCACTAAATTTTCTATGAAACCCTGGCACCTTACTTTGAAGTAATGAAAATGAGGGAGAGTTGAGGAATATCACGACTCTTTCTACTGTTTTTTTTTTCATCTTCACAAAATAATTCACTGTTTGGAATTTATTCACCATAGAGTATCGTCATATATATATATATATATATAACAGAGAGGGTGTGTGTGTGTAAGAGGAGCACACATCTTCAGACTGTGTAGTTCTTTTTAGTTTATCTCCTTTGATAGGTCTGCAGATGAGCATACGGCTTCAACCAGCAGCTGATGAAAGTCATTGAGAGAAGATCAAGAAAGGAAAGAAAGGCGAGGATGTGTAAATGTCTTTTAATAGATGCACTCTTATCCATAGACAAAAAATAAACGCAGCCATGCATCCCTGAATAAACGCCTGGATGAGCCCAAATAGGCCGGACATTAAGCAGCTTGATTAACACGGAGAGGGTGATCTGCCGTAATCAGGCTCTGAGTATTTTATTTGGCAGCAGAGGGGCCTTTTCACATCCGCCTGAATACAGCCATCCCTGTCCACACAATGCCGCCAATATAAATGCAAATCCTGACATTCCCGTCACTCAGCCTCGTGACGCCTGCTTTACCAAGAGCCCCGCCGCATCGACCCCAGATCTAAATGAGCCTCGAACTGCACAACTGTACATATTATCTTTGTGCGGATGTGTCTGTGTGTCAAAGTGGGAGAAAAAACCCAGTGTGGGGCATAATGAGAGAAAAATGGAGATACTAAAGTGACAGCCGTGGCTGTTTATATATGCGGGTCTGCGACATGGCAATGATCCTGAAATCGGGAGCCGTGCTCTTCCTTCGGCGGGTTGTTCCTGCCTCCCTTTGCCTTGTCATGTCCAATATTCTGTAGCGGGAAAAGAAATCAGGGTGATGGCTTGAGTGGTGAGCTTGTTTACATCTTTGTGTATGCATGCATGCATTTAGTAACCACCAGCGCCCATACGCACACATGCAGTATTTTCCAGTGCGCTGCATGCAGCCTATCATGTAACTCTCCAGATGAGGATCTGTAATCACAATCTTGATTTGTCCCTCCCTCAACACTGTGGGCGCAATCTTGTTCAACAAAGCCAAGAAATAAAGCCTTCCTACAATTAGAGTTCAGAGTCCCTGATCTGTTTAGATTATGTCTGATGGTGTTTTCTTCAAAGTTATGTATTTATCCACAAAAGTGGAAGAAGATTAAGCATTTGCACACATTTTTTAGAGCATCCCTACTGTGTTATCCTATCTGTTTAACTGACTTGTTTTTTTAAATAGTTCATATTCATCAACTCAACGTTTTGTCTCAGTAGAAACCCTTCTGATCATTTTTTTCTGTCCTTTTATCTTTTAATATATTTCAAACATTCATTGAAAGCAAACAAAAATCAATACAAAATATAATTAGAAAACACCAATAAACAGGCCACTTGAAGGCCCATAGTCTTATCTGTATTGTTTCTATATAATGTCAGCTTTATGGATACAAAGTTCTTGAGCGAAAATCTATTAACAGCACAACAAGCTGTTAAGAATTTAGCTTTTGAAGAACGTGCTTGAGTCAAATGAGAATAGCAATGTAGTTTGAGGCAATGTGATAAAAGTGTAGAAAACAGGGATGCTAATATTTTAAAGGATGTTATTGGTGAGACTTGGACTCTGTTCAAACATTGTACATCAGAGTAAAAAAAAACGGCTATGCTTCTGTACTTTCATAAGCCACCCTGTCTCTCTTCATCTTCCAGCACAAAGGGGATTTAGGATTTTGACACATTGTTCTGGAAGGAGTTTATCTTTTAGCTCATCTCGTATTGATTTCTGTGACTCCGAGATGCGCAAAGTAAAGTAAATGCCATAAAAGCCAATATGTTACTGCATGGCTTTATTAAAGGGGAGGATAAACAAGAGCCAAAGCAGACGGCATTATGAGATCCCCTCTCAGTTTTCTCTAAATGTTGTGAAGAGGCTGTGAAAGTACATCATTATTATTAAAGCTCATTAAATGTTGAGCTCCATGTGAAATTTCTTGCCACAAACCACCAGAAAATATGGCAGGAGGAGACCATCTGGATTACGTAATGAGGATAAATAAGTTGGGTCGTGGGGGGGGGGGGGGGGGGGGGGTGTTCTGGTTGCTGCATATTCACCCATGTTCCTATAAAGTATTCATGAGTCTTTGGAGTAAAGAACCGTAGAGAATAGACTCTAAGAGACTTTAGAAGTGGCAGATCATTGAAGGGAACCCCTCCCTCGGCGGACCACTTTGCTCCTTAATTTGGTCACAAAAAACTGTTAGAGCCAGTAGTGTTTAAGTCCCCAACACTAATAGCAGTAATGCTAATGAGGGTAATGCTAGCAGAGAAATCCCAGAGTGTTGCTCATTAACATTTCAGCAGCTGCATGGTAGTGTTAGGCGCTTTGAGCAAAGGGAGCCCCGCAGACACTGTAGGGGCTCTTGGTCGTCCCTGGGGGAGGGGCACTGCTTGGCTTTTTTCTATTCCCCTCACGGGAAGAAATATCATTTCTTTTTTTCAAAGATAAAAAAAAAGACTTCCCAGCTCTCTACATCAAACCACAATAATTTTTTGTTGAGTGTCTCTGTTGGTTAGAAATCGTCTTCTGTCTTCTAGTTGCTTTCTCCTTAACTCTGTGTTTGTTGAAGTCTGACATGTTTGTTACTCCTACCTGACAGGGAGTAGAAGCAGAATGCTGCAAATCATTTCACTTATTGCAAAGAGCCGCTGTCAGAGTCCTGCTGACAAACTTGATGACAGCAGATCTGAACATCAGATCACCTTGTCCTCTCCTCTACCTTCTCCCCTCATTAGTCACTGATTCTCACCTCATTTGGCTTTTCTTATAGAAAAATCTAAGTCACCCTCCATTTACCTCTTTCATCTAATAGGTCTTGACCGTTTCTCTCTCCTCTTATCTTGCAGAGGGTACCCAGATGACCCCATTGAGGAAGAGCTGATTGATGAGCGCCACCCTTACATCCATGGTATGTATTCAGCACCGCTTGCTCAGCCTGAGAGAGGAAGCATGGCCAGTCTGGACCGAATGGCTGGCAGACGTTCCCCTTCCATCGACAGCATCCGCAAGGACCCACGTTGGAGGGACCCCGATCTCCCCGAGGTCATTGCCATGCTGGGTCACCCTATTGACCCGGTGAAGTCCAACGCCGCTGCCTATCTGCAGCACCTGTGCTATGAGAACGACAAGATAAAGAAGGATGTTCGCCAGCTGAAGGGGATTCCTGTTCTGGTAGGGCTTTTGGACCACCCCAAATCCGAGGTTCACCGCAAAGCCTGTGGAGCGCTTCGGAACATCTCCTACGGCAAGGACAATGAGAACAAAGTGGCCATCAAGAACTGTGATGGTATTCCAGCCCTTATCCGTCTGCTGAGGAAGACCAATGACATGGAGGTTCGAGAGCTGATCACCGGTAAGATCACTGTTTCCAAATAAAACAAATTTAACTGCCAGCTGGTTACAGCCATATGTATCAAAAGAGGGAGAAAATCTTTAATTCTGAGTCATATTTTGTGTTTTTAGGAGGTTATAGTTAAAGGGTAAAGAAAAGCAATCCCACCTGAGGATCCAACATTCAATGTGACAATAGACTTGATAAATATTTATTTCAATATAGATACAAAACAGTAAAAAAAAATACCGTAAACTGTTTAGTTTTAATTCATTTGAATAAAATATTGTGATATCCCCGTGTTTTGTATCCCCAATGCTAGGTCCTGTAGCGCTAGTTTCTTCCAGCCATAATAGCAATGAGTAACGTTAAATCTAGTGATCATTTGTCGAATTGTATGGAGGATCAACTCAGAAATAAATAAATAAATGCTCAATAAATAAATAAGACCCCAAAAATACAATAAACAAAAAAATGTAGGTAGAAATAAATTATACAGTGATACATAAATGTATATATCTCTTTTAATTAGCTTCTTTATTTATTATTTATTATTGTCCTTTATAATCTTGAACTTTATTTATTTATTACTTATTTTTTTATGTATTTATTTATGTGCATGGATAATATTTTGGTCTGTTTTATTCTTCCTTTGTATTTTTTTACCCTATTTATTTCTGCCTGTCGTTTTTTTCAATTGTGTCTGCATTTCTGCCTCATTATGCAAATACGGAAGGGGTTGTGTCTTAGATGGTCACTTATTTTTAAATATGGCAGAGTTGGTCCTCCATACAAATGGTCATGCTCAAAGGCATTGGTGGGGAAGTCTCTTTCATATATCTTATATTTAGGCATTTCCAAGGCATTGTTAACTGACAGATTCATTAGTTGAAGAAGTTGAAAACATTCACACACAAAAAAAAAAGCCCTTGGAAGAATTCTCAGGGGTCATAGTTGAAAGATGCCTTTAAATATAGACTTAAGAAAAGAATACCCAAAATAAATTGGCTAATTCTTCACTTCTTTAACACTATCTTACTTTGTAAAGCTTATGTCTGAGCAATAGTTACTTCCTTGGGTAGTCTTCACCTTAAAAATTCTCCATGTTCTCTATAGCAATGTGTTCCTATTTATAGAAACAATGTGTTGTGAAGTAACTACATATTCAGCAATTATAACATATATATGTCCGTTTGGACCTCTACATGTAATTTTTGGTCATTTAGCAAACAAGATTGATTTTATTAGAATTGTAAGAATCAGAGTGAGCTGGTTGAAGGAGATAAGTATGCTTTTAGCCTGCAAACCTGCAAATTGGTCTGTCTTTATATCATGGAGCTCTTACCTTTCTGTAAATGATCCCTGCTTCACCATTGTGAGGACATACTGAGTCTGAGGCACTATTGATCACAAAGATGTTACAGGGTTGCAGCTCAGATTACACGTGGAAACAAATAAGGTCATGTTAAATCACTAAAACCATATCTTTCTCAACTGTTTGCAGAGTGATGGATTGTGTTTTTTTTCACTTGAAAAAAAAAACATGACGACATATATGGAGTAAATTTTGTTCCATTATTTATGCAACCAGAGAATATATTTTGTATTTCAAACTTTGAAAAATAATCAACACAAATATAAATTTAGAAAATTTCATAATCACAAAATAGTTTTAAGAGTAACTTTGCTCTTTTCTTAGATATTGTTCTTCGTAGTATTATTAAGTCCTTTATTTTCTTTCAAATCTTATTTTTTCAGCTTTTTTTCTTTTACAGATTAAGTTTTATGAATTGCATTCTTCTCAAATGGCTTTTAACAGATCATATTCTCTTCACATTAAGCAAAATACAATTGTTGACATCATTGCAGACCAATAGAAATGTATCCTTGCTCCTCCCTTCAAAAGAAAGCACACCCACTGAGGTGAAAACTATGTGATCTAAAAAACAGAATTTGAAAAAGGTAATGAGTAAAACTCAATTTAAAAAAGAGCAATTAAAAAAAAATAAAAATAATTCAGATAAAACAGCAAAGTTACTCTCAAAACCTTTATTTGATTAATAGCTTTTTCAAAGTTTCTTTTTTCGATGTGTTTTAGTCCAAATAGCAATCTACAAAAATTTTTATGTGTTGTCTTTTTTCAAATTTTAATTTACAAAATATGTTCTTTGCTTGAAACAATAAAGGAACAAAATTCACTCCATACACATCAATAACCGCAGAAAAGTCTATAATCATTTAAATTCTTCCAGAGAAGCTTTTGAATCAGATGTGATGCAGTGGTAAAAGTCAGCTGGGAAATACGTGTGTGTTTAGTTTATTCCAGCTGATTTAATATGACACACTCACACACTGTGGCATCTCACAAGAGATGAGAAGAGTGTTTTTTTTTTTGTCTTCTTCCTGTGCACTCGTGTGAAAAATGAGACACTTTAAAGTGAGATACCCAGACCTTGTAAAGTAGGTGCCAAGTGAAAACCCAGTGTGCGTTCTGCAATCTAAGAAGGGCTTTGGGTTTTTTTCCACTAGCTATACAGTGTAGGGGGAGGATCATTGTCTTCACGTTAAGTTTCCAGAGCTGACAGCTGTACTAACTGGATGCTATAATATGAATATCTGTGTGATTGTCACCTTAAACAAATCATTCATGCTGTTTCTTACACTGATGCCAGTGTTTGCAATCCTAGTGCTTCACTGTATGAACGGTTGCGGGCCTAAGTGTTTGCATAAGTGAGTCTCTTTTGTTTTGACAGAGATGTAGCAGTGAGCAATGACAGCGCAGCTGCAGAAATGATTGTCTTTACAGCGCTGTGTTGCTCCATGTTGAAGCTAAAAATAACCCTGCACCAGAAGACAAGGAGGACGGGATGGAAGGAGGCTTTTCTTCCCCTCCACCTCCTGCTCATTATTCAGCCCTCCCACGCTCAGTCTCTTTTTTTTTTCACCCCTTCATTCATTATCTACAGACAGTGATTTTCGCTCTGTAGCTGCTTTGCTACTTTTCCTGCTTTAGGTGGTCATTCCCTGTGCTCCAGCCCTGCAGGAAGCGAGCTCCGCACAATGCAGGCTCAGCTTGCATCCCCAACCACTCGTCTGGAGTTGGCCAGGCTTTTCTACAATTAAATGTAATTCAGGGGTTTTAAATACGGGCTCCTTTTCTTAGTCCGTGTGTTTAAGGGGTTTGCTGTGGAAGTCTGCGCAGACCGATGCTAAACCACTCAAAGCTCTGCTTTCTCCTGGTGGAAATGGGTGACGTGGAAGGAACCTAGTGGTTTCACTTTCCAACACACACACCAGACATGCAGACAAGTCATTTATATTTTTAGAGCCTTTTACTTTCCACAGTCATTCTATTTTCCTCTTTCAGCAGCCTCCGGGCTGCTTGTGGCCTCAGGCAAATTCCTTTGTAAAAATCGAGATTATGAGGCAGATTTGTGGCGCTTTTCTCGCTGACTTTATTGTTCAAAAGAAACGTCAAAAAAGGAAAGTTAATTTGAGAAATGCTGATAAAAAAATTAAGATAATGTCCGAACTCATTCACTGTTCTGTCACTTAAGCTGAGGCGTATTTACCTCAAACTGTTCCCCAAATGTTCCTGCTTATGACCAGTGTCACCTGTGGGGAAGAAAAGTACTTCCAGAGGATAGTTATTGTCAAAGGATCTTAAACCAACTTAATTAAAAATCAAAGTTTGCTTTTCATATTTAATATGTAATGATTCAACTTCACCTTTTTAAAACCTTGTTCTTGACTTTATGTGTGCCGCATACATGTACATATACAGACATATACCAAAAAACAATCAAACTTATACTAACTGATCACACCAGTATATTTATATGAATGCCAACAACAAAAAACGTTATAAAAAAACAAAAAATATAATTTCTTGTACAAAGGCAAATCTGTGTTTTGCATGGTCCAGTATTGTATCACACACCTACAAAAATGTACCAGTTTAATAATGGATTATTAGTCAGCTTTATATTTTTGAATATATAAAAATATATATTTATTTTCTGGGAATGTGTTTATTTAAGAGCAACTATGTCAATTAAAAAACATCTAGATAAAGTACACTATAATATGGTATTTTCAATGTGAATCCCAGATTGTTAATTCTTCTTTGCCTTTTCTAAAAAGTGCTTTAAATCAGTCCTACCTGTCTTTATCCATGCTGGGTCAGATCCTGACATTTGAAAGGAATGTCCAGACTAAAGCAGACTAAAGCATTAGCGTCACTACATGCAGTTATCCAAGCCTTCTTTAAACCAGGTCCTGGAAACGGATGTTTCTTGCGTGTTCTTCTTCTGTGTTTTGCATGGTCCAATATTGTGTCACAAACCTAAAAAAATAAATAAATAAATAATGTACCAGTTTAATAATGGAGAAGTTATTGGTCAGCTTTATATATTTTTTAATATATATATAAACTTTATTTTCTGAGAATGTGTTTATTTAAGAGCAACTATGCAAATTAACAAACATCTAGAAAAAGTACAATACAGTATATTATATTATTTTCAATGTGAATCCCAGATTGTTAAATTTTCTTTGCCTTTTGCTTTAAATCAGTCCTGCCTGTCTCTATCCATGCTGGGTCAGATCCTGACATTTAAAAAATGAGGCAAGGAAAGCCTTGTTTAATGCAGTTAGCCAAGCCTTGCTAAACCAGGTCCTGGAAATGGATGGTTCTTGTGCCATTTCACTTTGTATTGCAGAGGAGCTACTGCGCATGGACAACTTTTAACGTGAATCAATGGGCAAAGATTTTTGCCCCCAAGCCCGGAAATACGGCACAAATCCGAAGAAAAATCATTGTCAATCAATATGATGCTTTTCTAGTCATTAAAAATTAAATATTTATCTTGCTCATCTAAAAGATATATATTTCAAAAATATTTTATATGTTAAATTAAAATTGTAAAATTAAAATATATATATGCATATATATTTTTTTGGTGGGTGGAGTGGGGCGGATGGGGCAGCGCCCTAGTGTCCTGTATTGGCCAGCCACCACT